CCCACACCGCCCGTGTCCCCGCAGGACTACATCCACAGTACCCACGGGAAGGAGATGGACCTGCTGCGGACCACGGTCAAGGTCCCGGGCAAGCGGCCGCCGCGGGCCATCTCCGCGTTTGGCCCCTCGGCCAGCATTAACGGGCTGGTGAAGGACATGAGCACTGTCCAGATGGGGGAGGGCCCGGGTGAGTGCAGCGAGAGGCCGGCCGCGGAGGTCGGGGGCTGGGGTGTGGCACGGGGAGGTGGCACACACAGGGCCCAGGGACGGCATCACCGAGGGCCTGTCTTCTTCCCCGGCGGCAGAAGCCACCACGCCCAGCCCCAGCCCCAGCCCCAGCTCCCTGCAGCCGCCACCAGACCAGACATCCAAACACCTGCTGAAGCCAGACCGGAACTTGGCTCGCGCCCTCAGCACTGGTCAGTAGGGCCCCGCACTCCACGTGGGCCGAGGGTGGGAAATGAAAGTAGGGTGCAGGTGGGGCTGGATCACCGACTGAGCGCCGAGGGCACGGTGCGTGCAGGCCTCGTGCGCGTCCGCTCATGCCACTTGCCGGCGTGGCCCAGACACTGGGTTCCAGAGCCGAACTGCCCGGTCTGGAATCCTGACCAGCCACCTGGGCACCTGACTTGACTTCTTATTTTTTTTTAAGATTTATTTATTTACGCACACAAGAGCTGGGGTACAGGCCAGAGGCGCGGGGGGTGAGTCAGTTCACCAGAGACAGAGCGGGGAGCAGAGCAGGCCAAGTTACTGAAGCCCACTGCTGAGGGGGCGGTGGGACACCCAAGGGGGCTCCTGAGCCCCGGGGGTCCCTCCCTGGGGGGCTCGAACTCGTAGCGCTGCGCTCTAGCCCCCGGCGCCACCAGGCAGGCCCTGGCTTGGCCTTTGCCCAGCTCAGTTTCCCCGTCCTTCTAGAGGGCTTCCAGTGCGTAGCCAGCCGTCAGTGATCGGAAGTACACGTGTACCCTAAACAGGCGAATGCGTGTGACACGTGGCCCTCCCAAAGCCTGGGCAGGTCAAGGTCATGGTCCCACTGTAGGGCTGAAGAAACCCAGGGCCCCAAGACTAGGCGGCCCTCTCCCGGTCTCCGGGCCAGTGAGTGGCAGGGCCAGGGCCCGATTCTAACTACGAACTCGCCCGGAGCCTGCGGATAATCACCGGGGGCCTCCCGGAGAGGGAGAGTCGAGGCCAGCAGCCCTAGGCCAGGGCAGGAGATCAGCTAACGAGAAGTCTGGGAGTCTGCGGAGGGGACAGTGAGGCTGCTCTGTCCTCCCTAAGACTGTACCCCATCTGGAGACCTGAGCCCCCTGAGCCGGGAACCCCCTCCTTCGCCCATGGTGAAGAAGCAGCGGAGGAAAAAGCTGACGACACCCTCGAAGACGGAAGGCTCCGCTGGGCAGGCTGAAGGTGAGGCAGTTCCGCCCGCCTGGACCTCACCCCCGGGGGGCCCTGGCCCGGGCGCTGGACCCTCGTGCCCCTGCATGCCCTTGCGTGTGCCGTGGACGGGGACCTCAACCCGTCCTTCCTCCCACTCTCCAGCGGCACTTGGCTCCCAGCACTCCCCAGTCCTGGCCTCGGGAACCCCGCACCTCACTTCCCTGTCTACCGGCCCGTAGTCCTGCTGCTTCCCCTCGACTCCCCTCGCCACTCCAGGCCCTGCTCCAGATGCCCCCCAGTCACTCAGGCCCTGACCTCAGTGTCCCCCAGGGGCTCCTCAGCTCCTGGACTCTGACCACGCAGCCCCTCGGCCCCAAAATGCCCCTCGATCGCCAAACTCCGCCGGAGCCCCCCGGCCGCGGTGATCCCCACTGCCGTCCCCAGGGGGCCTGCCCCAACCGCGGTGGCCCCC